GAGAGGAACAGATGAGATATGAGGAAATATGAATCTGAAGGCTTTACAGAGTGAGATTAGTGTTACTGACTGATGGTAGGATGTCCGCTGAGGGGGGCTCTGGGAGGGCTGGAGCAGGTTGAGTGAATAAAACATGGAGGCTGGAGCAGGTTGAGCAGTGAGAGTGTAGGAGGGTGGACAGGTTGTACGGAGGATGAAGATGGAGAGGGAGATTGTGTGGTTATTGATGGTTTGATCTGGCAGAGGGAGATCCAGGAAACCAAATATTTGTTCATGTGCTCGTTCATTGTGCCTTATATTTATTGTTTAAGAGACGAACTGCACTGCATTTGACTGGGAGAAAACGTAATTTACATTTTTGCTGTGCTAGAACTGTCTGCTCTGTTCTACAAATTCATTAAGCTAACAAAAGCTAACATACAGCCCTGAAACCACAAACTGTTGATTTATTTATTTTATCTGATTGGTGACACATAACTGATTAGCTGGCTTCTGCAGCACATTGGTTCGGTCAATTTGGTTGGTCTAGGAACCAGAAGCAACTTTTATAAAATATATATTACACTATGTTGTAACACTGTGCTATGAGTCAGATAATCTATGAATAAACTGAGCTTCCCTGTCTTCTCCCAGTGCTTCCCAAAAACAAACAGTCCTGGCACTGATTGGTTGTTTTTCTATCAGGAGTGGCGCGTTTCTTCATAGTGGCTCAGAAAGAAGGTGGAGGAGATCAAACTTTTCACAGATTATCTGTCTCATATTACATTATATTATCTGTCAGGACATGATCATGTAATAATATAAATGTTTTTCATGAAAGTTTCATACTGCAGATTTAGTTTCTCTTTAGCTTGTCCAAATGCGATGTAAGCTAATTTCTTAATATTTCAAAAACAATTTTTTAGATGTTTTCTTTAGTTTTAGATTTATTTATTTTTCTGGTGCTTCATGATAATTCCCAATAACTATGTAATTATCTCTAGTAATGTTCTTTTTCTGAGCAGAGTGACTGTTCAAACCACACTGCAAAAAATCTGTATATTTTACTTAATTTTTTTAAATTATTCCAACAAATAATTTTTTTACTGCTAAAATAAAGTGTGGCCTTATAACACTTTCATGAGAATGAAATATGCGTATCAGATTACATGTCAGACTGAAGGGAATTATAAATACAGTAATCCTCTGATCTAGTTACTGTCATCAAAGCTTTTATAATCATCATCATCTGCCAGGCATATCTCTGTCCTCTTCAGAAGCTTGAAGTACAAGAGCTGTAATTTATTATATGTATAAAATACTTACCTGTGATATTTAAAGTACAGTGTGAAATATGCAAATGTCAGAGGTCACAACAATTCAGACGTTTTGAATTCATCTGCGGCTCGTTGAGAAGCAGCACAGGTGAAAACAAAACTTAACCCTGGTGGAGCTGGTCTCTGCTTCAACCTTTGGTGACCCCAAAAAACCCGACAGTGGTTTGAAATTGTAACTTTTAAACTGGCAAAGCAGCACAACTTAAAATATGGTTGGACAGAAAAGAATGTTTCAGTTTTCTCAAAGCTAGAAATGACATCCGAATTGAAAAGTCACCCTCAGATGTCAAGTATACAGCCCGTTTGAGTGTAATGCATTCTCAGGATCATTGCAGTACAAATACTAACAACTCAGAAGATTTCTAGAGAATATTAGAATCATAAAGGCCAAGGAACACAGAGACATGTTTTTATAAATAAGATGTATTTCCTGAAAAAAAAAAAAAAACTTGAAATAAAACTTCTTGAACGTGATCTGAGACAACATGGGTCTGTTGTTAAATGTGTGAAGCTGTGCTCATGCACCCTAGATGATGTTCCATCATGTGGACACAGTTTGCACATCAGATGCACAGACGTCCTGCTTTTCCTTGAAGCATCAGAAGATCAAATCTGTTACTGCAGATCGACAACTCGGCCTGAAGAAATGTGTCGAACTGCAGCTGAATCTCAGAGTGCATCGGCTCCGCTGCTCCAGTGCGTCTGCTTAGCTAATGCTCACAGGTCACTCACTGGAATGTTACTCAAGAAAGTATATGTCTGACATTCTATAATTAAGGACAGCAAGCAATATATGAAATATGTAAGTAAATACTAATTCAAAATATAGAAATTTCAGTGTTGTAGTTTATGAACTTCACGCATTTTAAAACCCAAATAAAAGTAAATGTGTTTTTCATCAGTATGTTTGCAAACTTTACAAACACTGCAGTAAAGTTATACAGTTAACTTTAATGAGTTAAAGTTGATGTTTCTCCACACAGACTGGCAAGGTTTGACAAGAGCTGCATTTCCATTCCAAATGTGAGCAAAACTGTAGAATCTGCTAATGTAAAAAAACAATTTCCAATGAATAGGAAACGCAATTAAAATCATAGGTGGATAAGTTTGTAAGTAATTATTAAAACATTCCATGGCTTCTCTGACTACTTCCTGTCGTCTTCTTTGTGGTTTTTGCCGATGGTTGTTCTTCATCATGTGACTCTTGTGATACAAAAGAAGTGTTTCCATTGCAGTTTTGTGAAATAAACCAATCTTGGCAACAAAACTTTTTAGAATTTTTGCTGTTTTTATTAAACTAATTCATTTTCAAAATGTCAAATTGCACATTTTCCATTGACTGCGTGTCAATGGAAAGTCGGCTAATGTGTCTGCCAATAGCTGAAGAAGAACTTCCTGGTTCCTGGTTCTTCTTCTTCTTCTTCTTCTTTGTGGTTCCTGGATTCCAGGCTACGACGCGTCACAACAGTCAGCTCACATGTGAGCGTCGGATCGTACAGAGAACATGAATTATTGAACTGTAGTCGTACAGTTTGAGCTGGAACTCTAAGTGTGCCGCTCCAGATTTTTGTGAAGTTCCCCCAGCCAACAAAGCAACCCGTTCACTTCATTGTTTGGGCAACATTTTACAAACAATCTGTGTCGAGTCGAATCAGATTATAATTAAATGGACTTGGACTGTATCAGACTTGTGATGTTGTGAACAGGACAAAGCTGCTATAGAAAACAGATGGATGAATTGTACTGGTATATTTCTCTCTAATCACCTTAAATTAAACGCCAGCTCCCTGTTTATTGACTCTTAAAAGTCAGTCACCAGTCTTGTGCTTTTGTAAAGATTGTTGTAATGCGCAGCTTTGAAGTTTGTTTAGATCTCGGTAAGCCATAATGGTTCAGTGCTGCGTTCTTTGCCAGCAGCTTGTTTACAACAGCTTTTATGAGTTGGCTTCGGTTGAATTCACAAGTTTAGAGCCATGTGAGTCAAAGTGGAAGACTGGAGCTGTTGGGGCTCGTGAACTCTGCTCTGGATATTACACGCACGATTAGACAAATGCATACACATGGGTTCCTTAGTAGGAAATCATAGGTTAATATAGTTTTTTCCCCTTCTAAATATGTTAAATAAAATCACTTTGTTTCTTTTTTCTATTTTTCCAAATGTGTTTGTTGGTTCAGTCAGGAAGAAAGAGAAGAAACATAAAGAGTCTGACCTTTTGTCTCTGAGCTCCAGCTGACCACATTTGCATGTTGGAACACTTTAAGCTACACTCATTATAAACTGGTCACTTTTGATTACAGTTATATTTAATACACCCACCTGCTGCTCCATGCGGCTCTCCCTCAGCGCGCATTAGGCTGCTCCGTTAACTCCTGGCAGCTGCTCCCTGACTCACTGTTACGAACTGACACGTTGTCGACAGCAGATGCTTAGAATGCAGCTAGAGCTACTCTTCCAGATGTTGTCAAACTGTTCTTATAAGAGCCAAAAGCCAGGTTAGGAGATTTGATATCCAGTTTGACGCTGATGTTGAAAATCAGTTGGACGGTTGAAAAAGGGCCTGGCATCATGCCGCACATTAGTCCCGTAGCCTTTCCCAGAGTTGGCAGTTTTGCTTTGTTAAATCACTCTATATTTTTATACAATTCAAGCTACCTTGAATTGTATCGCCTTGTTCCTCATCTTTCATCTTCTTGGAAGAATCCGTTTCGTCAAGTGACTGCGGCCGGTTGATGTTACTTGTAAAATGTCATGGCAGAGCAAAGAATCACCAAGTTTAAAGTCAACCAGTTGGTACAACCCCAACTACACCCAAACATTCACCCCCACCCGTCCCCTCAAAAACATGCCATTTGAAATCAGATATGTGCATACACTGTATCCAAAAGATGCAGAACCAAGTTTTCTTCCTGTCTTGTGTAAAATCAGAGTAACCTTCTTTTGGGTCAGTTAGATGAACAAAACTCAGTTCTTTTTCCTAAATGCAAGAAGAATGAGAGAAACGTTTTCAGTTAATTCGGACCACACATCATGTTTTAAGGTCTTTGTCCTTCAGGCCATTTGCAAATTGCCTGGCCTTCTATGTCCCTTTCGGATTAATACCGTCTTTCTCGCTGAGTGGATTCTAAACCCATGTTGGTGGAGGGATTCATTTCACTGTGGCTCATGATGCTTACTAGCTTCAACTAGCTTCTTCATGAGGTCATTAGCTTTTATGCTCTGGTTGATCCCAACACTTCGCACCAAAACACACCCCTCTCTCTCTGGGACACAGTAACCGTCTACTTCCTGAATTGTATGACGGCTACACCTTTAAGATCCCTCAATCTGCCACATTCTCACAGCAATGCGCAGATCGTTTCCTCATATTCCTGAAATTGAGAAAACATTTTCATTAACTGAAAGAATACAAATTTATGGAAGAGCTATATTATATGTTGATCAAATTAAAACAAACTGGCAATTACAGGTACAATATTCTGAGTTTATGGATCTATTTATTAGCCTTTTGAATGGATGATTGGATTGATTATTTTCTCCACATTTACCTCAGCTGATGGTAAATTACGGTTCTCCATGCTCCTTCTGGTGGCACTTAGTCCACAAAAATGACTTTGTGTGTGTGTGTGTGTGTGTGTGTGTGTGTGTGTGTGTGTGTAATGCCTCGCTCCATGTCCTGTGTGCAGGTCAACATGCCTGAGCTGGCCTTGCTGCGCTTTGTGGTGCTGGACGACGACTACATCGGAGACGATTTCATCGGCCAATACAGCGTGGCCTTCGAGTGCCTTCAGCCGGGCTACCGTAATGTGCCCCTGCTGGGCCTGGCCGGAGACCCCTTACCACACACCAGCCTTTTTGTTCACGTGGCCATCACCAACCGGCGAGGCGGAGGGAAGGCCCAGCGCCGCGGCCTGTCGGTGCGCAGGGTGGGCCGGCGAGGGAGGGAGTACGTCTCTCTGCGGCACACCGGCATCAAAGCTCTGGACGAGGTCTTCAAACAAGCCGGCGGACCCCTCAAGGAGGCCACGGACCTGCGGGAGGACGCTCAGGTGAGACGGGGAGTGGGCGGGGTTTCCATTACACTGCTGTCAGAGAGCAGGATCACTCTCTCTTTTAGCCTCAGGTGTGACTGATGTCTTCCTCCTTAAGGCTTGGATTCACACCAACCCTGTTCAGTCCGTTTTAGTCCAACTCCCGTCCGTTTGTCTAGAAAGTCCGGTTTCTTTGTGAAGCTGCGAATATGTAATCGAACTCTGGTCTGCGTAAAAACAAAGGTCTGGGTCCGGTTAAAGTGAACTCCGGCCCGGTTCAAATGCAAATGTGACCGCTGAAGTGAACAAGAGAGCGCTTCAAAAGCAGGAAGTGTGTGAAGTAATAAAGAAAGAGATGCATTGTGGGAATTCTATATTATTAAGACAACTTTATTTGTACTGTCTGCAAACACAAACACACTTCCACTCAGCCCTGTACCCAACAACCCAGCTAGACTTAATATGCCGGTGAACTCTCCGTGTGTTAAAAGGATCTGTGAGTGTGTGACTGAGGTGCAGGAGCTGCAGTCAGCCTCTACCTGAGACGTGTTTGTGGGCCGAATCACAGAGGAGGAGGAGGCGGAGGAGGCGTGACAAAAAAGCAATAGTCGGTGAGAAGAGTGGAGGAGGACAATAAAGCTTCTATAAATACCAGGAGAAGTGAAGGCTGGTCGTGCAGCACCCACCAGTTCTATCGCTGAATACTAACATGAACTGGTGGGCAATGTGAAAAGAATAACTACATGGGTTCTTCTTATTGTGCTTGTTTGGTTTTCATGTGCAATAACCGGTCTGGTTTGGCTATAAATACCTAGAAATACTTGTAATTATGAATAAAACTATTAACTTGGATCAAAGTTACCAAGTTGGAGCACCACCTGATTATTAGGAAAATAATAACAGCCAAATATTTCAGTCTCATTTATTGTCCTTAAATGCCTACCCGATAAGGAGGCCTTGGTATTAAAATAACAATGGATCAAGGCATAAATCCAGAGCTGAAGATGTTACACATGTGTGGAATAAAGACAAACGACTTCTCTCCAATATACAGGAGTTTAAAAAGAGAAGGAATTTAACCTTCAAGTTTATTATTTTAATCACCAATCTCACTAATCTAGTAACACTCAATTAAACGACTTGGTAAAAGATGAAAGAATGATGAGTAAATGACTAAAAGTAAAACAGTAGGAATAGACAAATACCAAAATATATTCTTCATTCCCATACAGCTGAGGATAAGAGGAATATCATAATATCACATTCCTAGATTCGCACTCACAAAGGCACACACATTTACACACAGATTGGTAGGCAATGTGCCTTGCCCAGAGCACATCAGGACCCTGGAATCGAACCTACGACCTTCCGATCACAAGACGATTCCTGTTGAAGAATTATGAGTAAAGCAGGATCAAAGCTTATCCATATGTGGATAATAAAGTTCACTTGACTTGACTATACCTACATGCGGAGTACAGATGTCCTCCTTTCACTGGGGAAATAGTAGAGGAGGTTTCATAGGAAGGTCCCCAAAGTCTAGAAGAGACAAAAGCTCCTTCATCGGCTCGTCATTGTGAGCATAATATTACATATTCATGCAGTGAATGTCCTATTCCTGCTTAAACTGATAGTTTGTGGGAATGATGGTTCTTATCCCAGCCTCCTTGCTCCTTGTAGTTTAGACCTTCACATAGCTAGAGGCCCAACAGTAAACCCTGTATATGTGCTGGAAAACCATGAATACTGCATGTCCTCTCCAGCATCTGCATCAAAGACTGCTTCATAGAACCAAGGCCATAAAGAAATATTTTCCTGCTTATCAGTCCAGGTCAGAGCCTGACCTTAATGCTTTCCAGCTCAGGTAGCCAACAACTGTTTGACTCCAAAATATTGCAAATCTAGAAGGTCAGGTTAATTCTGAAAACAAGCCAGAATCTCTGAGATCCTGGTGAAGATCCCAGAGCTGAGACTGATCCAGATCCTCATACTGGCCAACATGGCTTTTGGCTCACACAGTCTGTACTGGCTCACTTTTGCAGAGCTACTTTAAAGAGACGGCACAGAATGCAGGGCGCTTGTTTATCTGGCCATGTAAACTGCCATGAATTATTTCTACTTTTCATAAAGTTTATGCTTCCCTTATGTAATAGTAACGCAAACGTTAGGTGGTTATGTTAAAAAAAAAAAACAGCTCTCCACTAATCATTGGCACTGCATACAAGTGAATTCAGACAAAGGCATGAAAACATTATAATTCTCCTCCTTAGAGCTGCAGTTTCCAAGAGCAGCTCTCCTCTACAACTCCCCCCCACTCAGCCCCTTCAGACTAGCCAGCAGCAATTAGCAAACTCCTGGTGGAGCTTCTGCCGAGCTCATTATACAAGCTGCTTTTTAGTGAAATGCTGGTAAAAATGTTGTTAAAGGGTTAATAGAGGAGCCATGTTGTGATGACTTCCTGAAGGTGGAGTTTCATAAAGAGGAATTTTAAAGGGACAGAGGCAAAATTTCAACACTTTAAATTACAAAATCAAATTTCTTTCAAGTCATATCATATTTATACAGCATTTTAGTAACAATGGAAGGTACCATAGTTTTTTGATTGTGCAATAAGATGACATCATGTGCCTGGAAGACACATCACACTGCCCCTTTAACATTTTGTCCGTCAGTAGCAGGACTAACAAATATGAAATAAACAAAATTAGCAACAGATAAAGGGTAAAGAATGGTTCTCATGTGAAAAGAAAAACAAATACAAGTAATCTTCAACTGCAGAGGCTTCCTACTCACACATGTCCGCACACCAGGTCCTGAGCAGAAACACTGTTCACTCTTTAGCTAGCAGCTTTTATTAGCGCTCTTCTGCTTTATTGTCCTTTCCTTTTGCTCTGTCTCACTTAAAGCTTAAAGCTGCTAAGGCTGTGTGCTCATCTGCCAGGGTCACTTAACATCCATCACACTTGTCTTGCTGTTGCGCGCGCACACACACACACACACACACACACGCACACACACCCTTCAGTGAAGGTGGGCTGTGATAATTAGCCGCCGTGTTGGAGCTTTTTCTGTTGACAAAACCGTTCAGTCACAGTGGCAGCGTTTTTCTGTTTGAGGCCTGAAGTCACTTGGCTCATTAGGAGCTGACCCAGAATGTTACAAAGAACTCGCTTTCCACTTCTGCTTTACCTACTTCAAATTAAAAATGTGCACACTACAAAAACACGACATGTTCCCAAGAATTTTTGCTCTAGTTTTTAATGCAAATATATTAGTACACTTGCAATAAGTCAAAACCAAAATATAAGTAGCATTTCAGCAAGATGTAGCATCTTATTTTAAGTCAATAAATCCTCAGTATTGATGAAAAAGTATTAGTTCCCTGGCAGATTTTTTTCACCTGTAACATGGGAAAAATGTCTTGTTACAAGAAGGCCTGTCGCAGTCAGCAATAAATCAATTAATTACATGATAAATTCAAACTAGCACAATAATCTCCATTTGTGTGATTTATAATTTTTTCATTTTTCTCTGTTTTTCTACCAAAAACCTTATGAAAAAAGTCTTCAGTTTGGTGCTTTGGCATAAAATAGTCATTTTTTGAAGGACAATTTTGCTTAGAGAGACTTAACTGTATTTGTTGCTTACTTTTTTTACATTTTGGATATTTAAAATGTCTTTCTGTTCCAGTATTAAATGTTCATTAGAATTTAAAGTTTGTTGATCTTTGAGAATGTGCTCTTGTATTATTATTATGCCATTACCATTATGTTCCCTGAAAATTGTTTCTTTATCATTTATTTCAATAACTTCTGTGCTTATTATGTTGCTTTTGTCTTATTTCAAGACATTTGCTCTAAAAATTAGACCAAAAAAACTTTTAAAGATTTTTTTACAGTCTAAAATGTGTTGATTTTCTGTCCCAGCTTGATGTCAAATTGTTCTGATAAATCCACAGGTCAAGTGATACTGATTTGATTTGCAAGTGAAGCAGCAGATGTTTGTTGTATGAAGTGTGTGTGTGTGTGTGTGTGTGTGTGTGTGTGTGTGTGTGTGTGTCAAGCTGTTTTCTTGTCGTCACTCAGCGTAGTTCTGTTGGAGGAGAAGCACACCTGATCCAGCTGTGTCCCACTCTTCTTCCCCCAGTGCTCCACCGCCGGTTTCAAGGACCAGTGTGGGCTCCCCACTGTGGCCAAACTGAAGCAGTGCATCCAGAGCCTGGCTACGAGGCTCCAGAGCCCCGAGGGGGCCATGGGGGCCGCCATGGTGCTGAGGGAGGGCTACCCCTGTCTGGAGCCTCAGGTCAGCCTGTCTGAGGCGACTCGGAAGCTTCTCTCTGCCTACGACACGGTCAGTACGTCAGAACGCATCCAGAACAACCCAGATCCTGCGTTTAATTCTGTCAGCTGCCAGGGAGAATTTGAAGACGGTGCTTCTGATCAGTCTGAGGACACAAAGCTCTCGTCAGGGCTGTCAGGGTTTTGAGTGGAATGAACTAAAATGGCCTCTGTAGACGTATGTGGAGCCCTGTCATTCAACTGCAATAAAACCAGTGACACAGACATTTACATGAGAAAAAGGGAAACAGATTTTTGGCAGTTGTTGACTGAATTATTGGCGACTTTGAGGTCACACAGCAAAGCTGCCACAACCGACCATTTAAATATCCTTGACTGTTCACTGTTTTACAGCCAGAGTCGTGTTCTGTGTTGTGTCGTACAGTGACTTTTAGGAGCCTGGTGAAGAAAAACATTGTACCGTTCTTGATGGGTAATAATAGTAAAAAAGAGACAATTCCAACTTGTGTTTGTTTTAAACTGTTATGACTCCAGTTTCTCAGTAAGGATGAAGGTTCTTACGTAGAAATGCCGTCACTAATGCAGATCGAAAGCCGCTTTGCAAAGATTTTTTTAATCTCCTCTGATGGACAGAACTTTTCACACAGATTATCCATCAGATTATTAATATACATGGCTAAATCCAGCTTTTTACAGGTTGAGTCACCTTGAGGAATCTGTCCGTTACCCAGAAAGACCTCACACCTAAACCTTAAAGGGGCAGTATCATATAAAATCGACTCTTTTGAGCTTTACATCATGTTATAAGGTTATTCTCTCATCAAACTATACCTGGAGAGTTACTTTGATTCTTTCATTCATGTTTGAGAAATCCTTTAATCTCCGTGGCAACCATTCAGGTGTGCAAAATGCCTTGGTGGCCCTGGCTCCGCCTTCGAGACGAAACGGGAAAACATCCAAAACAACATTATAAACACATCGTACAGTCAACAGTTGTGAAAACCAATAACAGACATTACATCTTGTTAAGTGGCATCACTAAAATCATCAAATAAGTTGGTCAACGATCCATTCAGAAGGTAAACGTGTTACATCAGCACTGTGTTCATGGGAGACAGAGCTGGGCTGTTTCCAGCTGGCATGTAAACCAAGCCTAAAATCTCATAACATCTCACGGCAAAAAATTCAAACTGGCCCTTCATGGGGCTTTTAATTCTTCTTAAAACTGTTGATCTCTGTAGGAGTAAAAGAGACTTTCAAATCACATCATATCGGCCTTTCGCCACTTTTGTCAGAATAGTTTTCGAGGTTTGCCTAAAATGGACCTACAGAGAAATGGAAACAAGTAATCAGTTCCACAGGCTGCAATTTATTCCATTTAAGCCACTAAAGCTCCTAATTTGACTTTACTCTGGGGTCCGCCATCCACCTAATGATGTGCTTGTTTTCTCAAGCTCCAGCAGTCTGACTACCAGTCACTTTAGCTAATGACAGCCCTGGATTTGTTTCCAATGAAACTTTGGTGGAACCAAAAGCTGAGAGAAACACATTTTTATCATGCCTTTTAGAAAAACACTTCAGCCTTTCACGCACGCACACACACACACACACACACACACACACACACACACACACACACACACACACGTGCTACAATTCTTTGGATTTCTTGATTTTATCTTAATTTTTGTTACTGGTCGATTTAATGGGATCAGGGAGGGAAACATTTTCTTCAGGCATTAAATGTGCAGAATGACACTGCAGTGTCATGCATGTAACAATCACCCACATACTTCCTCTCACACACACACACAGTGGGACTGCCATCTGCACCTCTTCCTACTTCCTCCATCTCCTGCTGCAGCCGAGTCTCTCCCACCTGTTGTCAGTTATTCACACCTACACACACCTCAGAACACACAGAGCTTCCCTTCCTGGGCGGCCTGCTGTAGCTGCTCAGTTAGCTCTGTGTGTGTGTGTGTGTGTGTGTGTGTGTGTGTGTGTGTGTGTGTGTGTGTGTGAGAGATAGATGTGAAGCCAGCAGGTCAGTGTCAGGAAGCAACAGCTGGTGTCACCTGGACGCTTAGAAAACAACTCTTCACCCGTCCTGAATGTACTGGATTACTGTCTCCTTTGTGTGTGTGTGTGTGTGTATGCCAGAACTTAGTCTTTTTATTTCCATAGCACCATTTATGGCACTCCTAATCAACAATGGGACTCTGAATGAAAGAGAAAGTAACGCATGAGCATAAAGGATAAAAATGTAAAAAAATAATAACTTGTTTGTCAGGGAAACAGAATAGACTTCACATTCTTGCAGATCGATGAAGCGGGACCTCTGATTCGACACCAAACTGAATGTTCTGTGAGCTCAGCCTCGCTCTCTGCTCTCCTGTTCAGATGATCTCCGCCCAGAAGCAGCTGATTGAGAACGCAGACGGTGTTCAGGAGAGGATCGACCAGGTGCACAGGGAAGGTAAAGTCTGAAGACATGAAGCTCTGCATGTTAGCAGCACCCACAGAAACGAGCGGGTCATGAATGTATTAGCGACCATATGAAGCTACGCGGGTGCACTTACTTATTCGGTAGCATCCCCGCATGCGCTTGTAAACCCACTCATTGCCACTGATCACTGCTCACCTCTGTTTTCCAATGCAAACGTCAGAAACATGAGCCGTCTCCTATGACAACGCACCCATCAAGACGTGCTGCTGTTATACGTGTGCGTTATTTTTGTCAACATCTCCCGTTCGTGTTTGTCAGGAATGGACCTCCATGAGGACCTGTCCCGGCTCTGTGAGAAGGAGGGGCTGAAGGGACGGAAGCTGAACAAGGCGGTGGAGAGCTTCACCTGGAACATCACCGTGCTCAAGGTACCAGCACACAAACTGGGAGGAGTGGAGGGCTTGGTGCACCGGCTTAGTACACGATCAACACACAACGCGTTCCTGTGTGCGTCATCACTCATACAGTGTAAAACCCGATTAGTTCACCTGAACTTGTTGCCTCAACATTTCTTCTTTAATGTTAATGTTTTCATTAAAGTAGCTGACTGAGTGACGTTGACCTGTGCAATTTCAGTGAACATAACATAAGTCGGTTTAATAAATCTACGCATGTTGCAATTACCGTGAAAAAATTGACTATATTATGTGTTTAGTTAGAACATTTATTGTTGAGGTTGGTGTGATGTGATTGATTTATTTGTCTGATTTTAGCTTTTTAAAAATGTTTCATGTTTTGGCCCCGAGTTGCTCTTGAGTTGATGGATTTTGTCCCATTTTACAAAAACATTTGGACGCCCTGCACTACGCTGTGATGGTCTGTCATAAAAAAAAAAAATCCCCAATTTAAAGTTTGTGGTTTTTGTAGCAAAAAACAAAAAACAAAAATACGCTTGTTTTTCGGCAGATGAATTCTGTTCCTAAGCTCTACATGTAGCTCCTCTTTGCTGCCAGCTGAAACACCAAATGACAAATGTACTCAAATATGGAGAGGCTGAAAATTCAGAAGCCGGTGGAAATCAAAATAACCGAGGGAAGAAGTGACAGTTGCTCCTTATTTTGCTTCCTGTGGCAGCGTTGAGCTGCATGTGGTTATTTCTGTCAGATAAGCGTGAAATGAAATTTGTGAAGTTCCCCTTTAGATGTCGTGGATGCTGAAAATACTGCTGTTGGAGGCACACTGATATATCCTGGTTTTGAGTGCCTGCAGCAAACCTCCTCTAATCTCAGCGCTCCTTCTGCCACGTGCATTTTTAGGAACTGAGAAATCCATCCAAATATTCAGCTCAGATCCAGATATCCAGGTCACAGTCAGGGAGGCCGAGGAGAGAGAGAGAGGAAACCGGATGAAGAAACAACTGGTGTGCTGCCCCCAAGTGGTGGCAGAAAGAGTGAGGCAGCACGGGATCAATAAAGTCACATCTGATTGTAGTTGCTGAAGACATAATCATTAAACATGTGGAGGAAGATGGCCTGGTCAGACGAGACCTAAGCTGAACTTTTCAGCCTACATTAACCCACAGTTTGACAGAGAACTTGACGAGTTCTCCTGAATGCACCATCCTGACTGTGAGGCCTGGATCGTTTATCGTAACTTTTGTCATTGAAGGTGAAACATTTCTAGTCTTTATAAGATATTTGATGTGTTGGTGTCACTATAAATTCCAGTAATGTGGGGGGGGGGGCACTGACTAAAATGTTTTTACTCTCTCATCTACTGTTTTTTATCCAAGAGAGTGTCGCTAAATGTCAGTGAATTTGAGATTTATTTATAGAGATTAAATACAGTCTATACAAAGTTAGTGACATAAATCACAATGCAGAATGTGGCTTCCTGAAGAAGCTTGTTTCGAGAGCAAAATTTATTGTTGTGGCGCAACGAATTCTGTGCCATGCAGTTACCTAAAAAAGAAATAATGCATGTTTTTTAATCATAATTTTGATGTTATTTCACTAATACTATAAAATATCATAAAAACCTTAGTCCTTATCACCCCGCTTCATGGGTCATCATCCTGTCTGGATGCTTCTCTGTACACACAGAGGTACAATGTGATGGTTCAGATCGTAGTCATGACAGAATGTCCCAGTCAAAGTCCAGATATAAGTCATATTCAGAATTTGTGACAAGACTTAAAAATCGATATGTTAAACACTCTGAAAAAGTAATACTGCATATGACTTAATTGAATTAGTTTAACATTTTTAACGCCTAAAAATATTGAGTTTATTTTAATGCCCTTAAAGAGGTTATAACAAAAACATTTTCAATTAGTGATACTGTAAGTGATATTTTCAACTACATCTGCATGAACCACCTGAGTCAAATTACTACATTAATTAAGTAAATTTAAGTAAAATATTAAGTGAACCAGACTGAAAAGCAGAGAGGAAAGTATTAAAGGAAATAGATAAGTTGGGACACACGCAGGCTGCAACTGCAAAATTACCTTCTAAACATGTTTTAGCAACTACTTTTAGTACTTAAATTTACTATATTTGACATTATTCAGTTAAAAAAAACACAATATGACCAATATATCACAGAACATGAAAAATGTTACATAATTGTTCATATAGAAAATTACATTTCTTTCTAGATTATCTATATCTGTCGTCCAGACGCTAACAAGGCAAATGAAACAGCCCAGCTAACATCAGTGATGCATGAATGACAGTTTCTTACACCTAAATATTTCTGCGATATTTATAGTCTTTGAAATATTTATTATAGTGTAGTTGTTATATATATATACATATATCTCAAAAAAAAAATAAAGGGAACATTTCACTTTAATTTTGTGTGTGGCTCCAAATCCAGGCCTCCATTGGTTAATAAATTTGATTTCCATTGATGATTTTTGTGTGATTTTGTTGTCGGCACATTTGACTTTGTACAGAACAAAGTATTCAATGAGAATATTTCATTCATTCAGATCTAGGATGTGTTATTTGTGTGTTCCCTTTATTTTTTTGAGCAGTATATATATATATATATATATATATATATATATATATATATATATATCAGTTTTGTGTTTTCCTTTTTCTCTCATTCTAGCAGCAGACTTTTAGGGTGTTTTTCATTCTCTCTATCCTTCCTTTCCTTTCCCCCCCATCTTTCTCTCTTCTTTTCTCCTTTCTTTTTGATCTCAGTGTTCATTACATTCGAAAAAAAAAAAAAAAAATCAAACAATTTCCAACAAAGTTTTACATCAGATCTTTTCTTAAAATAATGGCCTAAGTCATTTTTGTTAAAAGTGTTTTCTCTGTCCAAATCATCTTTGGGTAAAAAAAATAAAATAAATAAAAACAAACAAAGAAAAATACTTTTTGGCAAATAGTAAACCTGTGTGCATGTTGACAGAATACACACACACAATCACACAAATAAATAAATAATGTGTGTTTTCAGTAGCTCTCCTTCCAGTCTGACTTAAAATCACATCATCTTCCACTTCCTTCCATTAAATATACTGAACTTTGTATTTGCAATGTAACAAAATGTGAAACAGTCAAAGACTTGTGAGTCATTTTTCTCAAACCAGAGTTGAGTCACGTCTCTTGTGTTTCAGGGTCAGAGCGACCTGCTGCGTGGAGCTAAGATGGACTCCCTGGACGCCCTGCGGCAGCTGGCTCTGGCCTGCGAAGCCTGCGGACTCACCTCCTCCTCCTCCTCCTCCAACAGCTTCTCCACCGCCGAGCTGCACTACTCCTCCCACCCAGCGTCGGGTCGCCGGAGCAGCACTCATGGCAACGGACGCGTCTAACACCCGCATCTAAACACTCCGACGAAAAGAAACTCGGGGTGGGGCGGGGTTTATGCTTTGTGGCGGAGTATCCCTTTAAGCCGTGTGGTAGACTGAAGCCTTACTGTGGTGGTGACGGGCCGGCCAGCAGGGGGCACTCACAGAGGTGGAGCGGTGATCAGATCAGGGTGTTGCAGATGAATGTAGAGCGGCCTCAGCTGTCCAGATCTACCTGTGTGTCCTCACTGTGCTGTCAGTGTGAGAACTGAAGACTTTCACTGCCCAACTCATTCGCTCCCCGGTTTCTGCTTTTGTCGGTAGCTGGACCGGCAGTTGACGCTTAACGCCGAGAACAAAACCCAGTTACCGACATCAACATTAACCTTTAGCCACATAACTAACCCTCTCTGTTCTGTTAGGATTCCACTGAAATGAAGGCGAAGCTTTCAGGTTGACAGTGCCTTGCAAAAGTATCCATGTTCTTGCTTTGCCACATTCCAGCCACTCGGACGCGTTCTGTCGGGATTACACCAGACAGAGCAACACAGAGTGAAGTGGAAGCGCAAACATTCAAGGTTTCAGATCCAAAGTGTGTGTTAGTGTTCAGTTCAATGTTGAACCTTTGGCTACATCTTAAAGTCTTCAGCGGTGTGTCTCTACCAGCTTTAGGCATCTAGACTGAAATTATTCTCTATTTATTTTTGCAATATGCATGAAGCTCAGTCAGATCGGACGTCTCACTAAAAGAAAACATCCAATCCACAAAGCCATGTTTTATCATGTGGGCGGTGTGTTTAGAGTCATTTACAGTGTGGGGTATCAGAGTACTGATCATAAAGGCATACATTTGCAAGGTACTATATATATGTATATTCTCCTAAGCATTATGTAACATATCAGGAATCACTAACAAGGTTTGGAGAATAACTGAAATTTAACAACAGGCTGTGAAGGCATCATCTGGGCTGCTGGTGGATCAGTCCACCTCTTCATGGAATCATTTCGTGGTTAGCCAGAACTGCAGACCTCCATGTGTGCTGCAGTGTGTGTGTGTGTGGATGGTGTGTTACCTCCTTCCGTGTTTCTGGACCCGTGAGCCGACGTGACTCAAACAGAGCCGACACGTGGAGATGCCTGCGTCTTTTTAATGCGGTAACGTTTCTACTCTTATATTGTTGTGCTTTAACCAAACTCGACTCAGAACCAAACTGAACCTCACTCTAACTCGCCTCTGTGGACCAAATGATCGTCACATGCCAAAACTAGAGAGTCGCAAAGAAAACAGCAAGAGGACGATGTGTCCAAAGTGCGGAGCGGGAATAAGTTATGTGTCGTTCCCCGACATCAGTTCAGTAACGGTACAAACCTGACCGCTGGAAGGACAGAAAGACAGAAAATGTTAAGTGTACACAAAAATTGTTTTATTAGGCTTTTTTCTGCCTTTACAAACATACAAACATCCAACGACGTTCTTTTATAAAAGTTACATACTTCATGTATAGGAAGCTTTTTAACCCTCCCGCGGTCCTAAGAGACGGGATCCATTTGACACCGCGAGCTCTTTACCCTGTGCGCGGTCCAGCGGGGCGGCACTGACTCCGCGTGCGCTTTTACACATCGCCTCCTGTAATTCGTGCCAAGACGGCGAGGAGGGTTAAAGCAGAAAGCACACAACGGTGACAGCAGGAAGAAGGCGATGGAACTCACTCCGGATTAACTTCTGCTGGGTTGTGTTGGTCTGCAGGTGGACCTGCAGGGTCACAGCAGGGCTGTGAGCGGTAGACACAGTGACAGCACCTGCTGGTTCTGGTCTATTAATACCATCCTGACTCACTGGAGGCCTGGGGTCGTGCGCTCGTGCAGCTGCGCTCGCGTCCGCCGTGATTTCCGGCTGGCAGCCGCTGCCGGGTTTATTTGCTCTCCGACCCAGCGAAGCGGACAAGTGTTTGGGAGACCTCCACTGAACCCGGAGCGGCGAGGCGAGGCGAGGCGAGGCGAGACGGCTTTCCAGGAGGACGGGAGGCTTCTGGAGCTCACGCAGAGCTGTTCGTCTGCAGTGTTAACCTTCCATGTTGTGCTGGAGGCGCCCTCTGGTGGAAAACGATGGTGGTTCACCTTCGCCGTCGAGGGAAGATGTGTGACTGCCGGGGGGGGACAGTAATTGGAAAATTCCCAGTTAAAGTAGAGCTCATTTTCAGTAATTTTTCAGTTTAGAGAGAGGAGAAGCAAAATGAAGTGTGACAAGTAAGAGAGAGAGGTACCGAGCAGCAGAGCCCGTGAAACGAATGGAATCCAAAAACATTGAGATCAATGATTTCTGGTCTGGTTTTCATTAAGTTTCAACCTACTCATACTAATTTTACCTGATGTGAGAGAATAGTTATTTTTATTTTTTACCTTAAGCAGATTATACAGCTGCATTTGCTATTAGCATTACAAACCGCTCATAGTCTGTGTTCTCTTGAGAACATGGACCGTTCCAAACCAAGCCTGTTATCTGCTGAAGGAAGCTCAGTGTCAGTTCACCAATATGGACGCCCAAAGAAGTCATGCTGAAGTTCATACTGTGGACTTGGTAGCTACCAGTCAGACCTGCGTTGTGTAGCTTTCGGTCGGAGAGACGGTGAGGGAAAGAGCAATGGAACAACGATACTGAGAAGAAATGCAAAGGCTTGGTGTGTTTTTGGGAAGAGGTTGTTGAAATAAGTGAAAAAAACCTTTTAAATTAGTTTTATTAGTCTGAGGTCCCAGGAGTCCCAGCTTGCTTATGCTCACTTTACCAGCATTTTATGTTCTGATCCGACTCTTTCACCCCCTGGCTCCACGGCACATCAGAACTCGTATCAAACAGAAAAAAAACATAAAGCAAAATTATTAGAATAACCAAATTATTTCTGTATGTCTTTGTCGTATTACAAATTTCGTGGGTTTTGGAGCAACTGAAGGATATACATTGGTCAGCCAACGACAGCTGTTCAGTCTCACCGACACACTGAAGCGCCTCGGTGACGGGTAGCTGTGCAGCTAACAAGGTGAACCTAATGTGAACCTAATGTGAAATATCTCCGGTCTCCATCATCGAATTAACCGCTTTTGGTAGAAACCGGTACATTTCTACAACTCTTATCCGTAGCAGCCAGAATTGTTGCACTCCACCAGGAGTGGATGCTTGGATCTGCCATAGTGTAACACAATATCTGTTGCTGGCGTAGCTACCAACAGGGTGTGATGTCGCCTGGCGTTTCTCTTTTCATCGTGCCAAGACTGATGTGCCACAGTGGCAGAGAGCTCCTTCTCCGAACGACCAGTCGATGTTCTGCTCTGTTGTATCAGTTCAGAATGACCAGCCATCGTTCAGGGCGAATACACTTTAAAATCAGCTAATTCTAGTTGGTGAATCTGTAGTTTTCAAACTTTGGTTAGCTTAACTTTTCGTGTGGCTGCTGTATGAAAGGCAGACCGAAGACATCTGTAGCTACTTTGACCATAAATTCACTCAAAGTCTTTGTTTTCTCACACAGACAGTGGGCTACCAGTCACATGTTCTCTTTGCAGTATTTTTGATGGAGAAAAAAAAAAAACCTTGTCTGCAGCTGAGTGCAGTGCTTTTCTGCCTCAGTGAGTGAATATATTTCTGTGTTTCACCTGTAACTGACTGACGCTCCCCGATCCCTGAGGCGCCTCACTGCCGATCCGTATGAAAGCAGCAGAAACTGTGAGGTCAGTCAGGTTTTTTTTTCCACCCTGGTGAGCTTCCTATCAGCGAGATTGTTGTGTTTGCATTAATGATGTGCAGCGTTCACAACATTCCTCTCTGCTGGTAAAATAGGAGATATCTGTGTTCTCTAAAGCTCTACTTATACACCAATCAGCACAAAAGACGGAAGCAATTAAAGACATACATTTACAAAATTAAGGAATAGAAACCTTTAATAAATGAACAATGCATAAACAATAAGCATCATGGTCTTTGTTTTTTTTATGAAGTTTATTCCAGAGCTAAGGATCAGATTAGATAACCCTTAGCATATCAAATCTTTCTCTATTAACTCCAGAATTGTTGACTTATGCATTTCTGTATGAAACTAGATTTTCTAACTCTTTAATTTCATGAAGCCAAATACTGAGTCACTGTAAATGATGATTCTGCAATAACACAAAAATATGAAGCTGCATGTCATCAGCACAGACAGAGATGCTGTAATATTGCATAATCTAACCTTAGAAATTGAATACAAAAATAACCCAAGAACCCAGAGGAACCCCACATCTGGTTCAACTCCAAAATTTTAATTATAAATCCAACGTTTATGATCGGGCACGTGAACGGCAGTGCCGAGGTTAAGTAATGTATTAATATGCAGTGAAGAACATGTAGATTTGTCATTTAGGGTAGTGAGGGAGTCCAGTCTCGGGGCTGTTTTAAGCCGAAGACATTTACAGACAAAAATGCATTTATTAATTAAAACAAAACTGTACTTGGCCTCTGCCAAAAATGTTAGATTAGATGTGAACCTGTCTCTCTTTATTGGGTCATTATTGGGCTTCTTTAAGTGACGTTTGATCACTGCATGTCAGACCTCACAAAAATTAGACTAATATTGATGATGTTGATCATGTTGATGGCTATTGACCTTGTTATTGTGCTGGAAAATGCAAATCTGTTCTCTCACAACACACACACAGACAGACAGATGGGAAGCACATCAGGCTGAGTGTTGTGAGGATGAGATCGGGGTGCCGCAGCCTCTCTGTTAGCCGCGTGTCTTCTGGACTCGCTCTGATTGTGTTCTTCAATGTGCTGTACGACGACACATCTCTGTGCAGACTCGTGCTCTAATAGACTCACTGGACCGTGGTGTGTAGCTGCCATCGTGCTGTGGACCAACGTGGGTGAACTTTTGGAAATGTGTAACGGTTTTTAGTCTGTGTGTCGCCGTGGCCTCTGCAGGTGTTTGTGTCGACCCGTGTCTACTCTGCTGACCTTTAATCCAGTGTTGTTCCCTCCGCTGTTCTCACAGTTCGTTTTTTTTTTTTTTTTGTATAATTAAAGAAGAAAAACGAAAAAGAAGCAAAGCTATTTATTGAAGTGTGTTTAAATGATAAATATAATGGATTAACTAGATCTTGTTTTTATTTTAAAGCTACTGTGTTTTCTATCTGTTGAAAATAATCAAATATAACAAAAGTATTTATTCCAGACTGATAAGAATAAAGTTCTTTTTTTCCTGAAGTCATCTTGTTTCCTTTCACCTCTCCGCAACGCTTCCATTCGTTCTCATTGTAGAAAGACGTTATTTAAAGCTAAAATATTTTGCCTTAAAAGCATACAATGCATATCATCATCAACTATAAATAATCAAACTAAAGTGGTTTTTAACTGATAATTTATGGAGATAAATTGGGGTTATTAAGTTTGTTTGAAAGGAGAAAGAAAATTAAAATGAAATAAAAAAAGAGACTGGTCTTAGTGCTGTCAATCACCCTCGCATGCGGCTGCTCCTGCTACACTACAGCTTCTTTCTGATAGCAGAACTTGTATAGATGCTAAAGCTAGTTAGCCACCAGTGACAGAAGGGAAGCAGTTTTCCTGTATCGGCAAGTAGTTTCTCCACATTGACCAGCACAGACACAGGGATGATTAACAACGCTAAGACCCTCCCCCTGCATCTGATTGTTTTGTTTTTTTTGTTGTTTTTTTGCATGGTGCATTTCTTCACACAGCAATAACAGCACAGGGAGCTGGAACAGATAATCTGTTAACAGATTATCTGTCTCATATTAAACTGTAAAAAAAAAACATTTTATTATACAAAGGTTACATAACGTAACTTTAACAGCAGTGTAGACTGTTGAGAGCCACTTTTACTTAAGAGTATTAAATCTAAACAGATAGATGAGAGTAAAGGAAGTAAAGACAACAGAGGAAAATAAATAAACTATGAACTATAACCGTTTATTTTACAGACACTGTAGTTTATATATTCATATGTTAGGATTGTATTAATGTCCTCAGACGTTTCAGAGCAGTGGTACGTGTGGTTGTGTTGGTTCTGCTGTGTTTTATGATTGATTTATACACTAGGCAGTCCAGACTGGCATCTTCTCCACTACGTGTGAGAATAACTCTGCCTGATGTAACCCTGTCTCACCAGGAGGGGGAGCCAAACATCGCCATTTAGTCTCAGTCAAACTCGGTCTGCTGTCATCCACTCTTATTCAATCACTTCAAAACAAACCAAAGACTGAGTTTTTAAATAGCATCGACCATTCAACGACATGTATATTTTGGGAATGTTAGAGGATATATAGACACACTCATGGTAGAACATGCAAACTCTGTGTCCTTCAGGCGTAACTTAAACTAAAAGTGAAAAACTTAAAATAATGATTTAATTTGACCAACATGTTTCTTCTTACTGGAAGTAATAGAAATATTTTTAATTGCCCCAGCAGGATTGATCTTATTGAAATCTGATACAGAATGCTTGTTTTTGCACAGAGACCTTCTGACCTCAAAGACTTGGAGTTCTGGTAATAGCAGTGGTAACATGCAACGAGCTTGCCAGCACTTGATCGCTGTAGAGTCGAGGAAGGCTTTCACACCGATTATTGAGAAGGATGTAAATTATTTTCAGTGATTAACTGTTTAAATTGCGATCGAATGTAAACAAGAACAGAGTTTTTCTCAAAAAATGACGCCTCCTGCATGTAGTTTTATATTTCCAGAAGTGTCTGTGCCATTTTCTACCAGAAACAAACGACAACAAAATTCAAATCCAAATCTGAATTTAAATGATGTTTTATGTAATATAATACAAAACAAGCAGCTTTTAGGGGAAATTCAGGAAGTGGAATAGCTGTGTATTTATTATTATTTCTGTCATCAAAACGTCTCCATAAAAATGTCAGTTACATATTTTATGAATGTACGTAGATGAAGACATTTTGCTACATGTAATAAATTACATGAGCGATGACTACTGAAAGGAAAGCAAAGAAAAACATGAGTAGTAATTATGTCTTTCTAATGTTTTCCTCTGTTACTAATTTTAAGTAAAAACAACAGAATCCCATGATGCTCTGTGAAGCACACGTCACCAAACAATGGTTTAAATCCACCAATATTTATAAAACCATGGCGTGTCGAGGACATTCCATCAGTTTCAGATGACAGACGTATTTTTGCCAATAGAAAGGTCACTCTGCTAGAAAAACATAAAATAAAATAACTCTCAAAAAACTGAATCTCAAATAAAAAAGAAAAGAAAAAAAATCATGTTACTGGATATCTTGAAAGCTTTTCTGTGATGTGATTTATCTGAGCCTTGTAATCCAAACAGTACAAAGTGATATGAAGTGCCACTTAATGAGAAACACCAATGGGAGGTTGTGTGACTCTGGATGTGCAGCTGTGATTGGTTCATTTAGCCTAAAGCACAAAGCGGCATCAAATCAGATGAACAGATCATCTGTCTCATACCATGTTGTCATGACATGGTGACAGTTTTAACAAATATGTAAAGAACTTTTTTATATTAAAGTTACATCCTGCATCTTTAAGAACAGTACTCAGTAACTTTGCTTGGCTACTGCCCACTTCTTGGCCGTTGGCTTCAAGTCGGGGTCCCTGGTCCTATTGGAGGAGCAATGAGGGACCAATCAGATGCATCTCCTTGTCTCTAAAATCAAATGAGGACATAAACGTGTTGATGTGAGCAGATGTATGGTAAATCCTGGGCATGGTGACCTATCAGTCAGTGTTTGTGATGGCTGACGGCCGGTTCTCTCTCTCTCCCTGCCTCCTCCTCCTCCTCCTTCTCCCCCTCAGGAAGTGTCAGCCAGCAGATGGGAGGTGATGGAAGTGTGTGGTAGTGTAGGCGGCGACATGACGAGCTGTCAGGCCTTAATGCATGCCAACATCTGGAGGTTGTTGGCCACGTCACTTCAGGGTCCTCTAGCCCCGGGCCACGAGGCGCCCTGAGGGACGCACACCAGGGGCCGAACACGGGCCCCCGAGACAGGGAGCCGCAGCACTCGTGGCTGCCTGCACGGCATCGCCTTCAGCGTCAGGCGGAAGACGAGGAGAAGAAGACGGTGGTGGGAATAATACCTAACTTAGCAGCAACCCAAAAGTGTCAGAGAAGAAACTTGTCTAAGTGGGTCATGATTGTGTGTGTGTGTGTGTGTATGTGTGTGTGTGAGTGTGTGTGTGCTGCAAGTCTATCAGAACAATACATTTAAAGTCTGCGTAACCCGCCTTTACGTCTTTGTGTAATTATCACAGTAAACAGCTGCAAATAGTCCATCATAAGACATCCTGTGTGAGCGGGAGGCGAAGGCGGGCGGGCGGCGCAGCGGGGTGACACAGACCGTTAAAACCCTCAACGCCATTGAGGCACTTTGCTATTAGCGCTTCACGCTCGCCTCTAGCATCCAAGAAGCAAGTGCCTCTTCTGTTTTAATGACAGCCCTCACCCAGAGGTAATTTCACAGTGATTAAGGCAACGGGGGAAAAAAATCCCATCTTAAAAGTCTCTAAATTGCATCTTATTTATCCACCTTTTAACTAACTACAAAAGGCAGACAGACAATGGCACTGCATGGTTCTACCTCTCCTGGTGAACAATTATACCTCAGACATTATCTGCTTCATTGTTGGTTATTAAATATGGCGCCCTGGAGATGACGCAGAGTCAGACCTTTGATGGAAAAGTTAAGATGAAGGAAATTAGCTTGCGTGAACTTTTAGAAAATACATTTATTTTTCTTTTTGCTTCACAATAAGCGGCATCATGCCAACAAGCGCTCTGACCAAACCTGCTGCCTTCGCTGCAACCAGAGAACAACAGATTCCATTTCGTCAATCAGAAGTGGCTGAGGTTGGACAGATTGCCATGAAATGTATTGCACATGCTTTTCATGGTTGATTGTATGTGATCTTCTTAATTTCCCAGACCAGTGATTTTACTTGAGGGTAATCTGGATGTGATGGAAGACCCTTCCATCTTTATTCATATAGCACCTTTTAAGATACAAATGACAAAGTGCTTCAACAAACAAAATAAGAAATACACAAATTTAAACAGAAGCAGATAAGAAAATGGATGTGACTGGATCTCCAAAGTTCCTGGAATCACCTGATGTCTTGGTTCTGTTGACGGTCTGACCCACATGAACGATGTTGTCTGGAGAAACAGCTGATTTGAAAAGGCTCAGTGTAGGAAGACGGACCTTTTAATCCATACGTCTTTAACAAACGGGTTCTTGAATCTGGGAACTCACAGAGGAGATAAAAGAGGAAAAGGTATGTCAACAGTTTGGGAGTATTTTGGATATTTAAAACAAACAAATAAAAAAAGAATAATCAGCGATACTGACTGATACTCATTGCTTGTTTTTAAGTTTTTTTGTTTTTTTTTGCTCTAGTGGCCTCCATATGACAGTGGTCAGACAGGAAGACGGTCAGAGGGAAAACATGTGGCAAAGGTCGGCCGGGACTTGAACCTGCGACGGCCGCTTCCAGAACCAAGGCCTCCATATGTGGGTCACACGGTTTACCCCTCCACCCGTTTATAGCTTTAATTTGCTCATCCTAAAAATAGAACCACATCCAGAGATGTGGATGCAATGTGGCAGCGTCAACTCAGAAAGCCACAACAAATACGGAAAAATAAATCAATTCTTACCAGAATATTAACACGGTTCATCTGTCCTTGTGCCCCTTGGGATGCACACAGAACAAAACAGCAGAAATCCCTGGACTGTGTTTCTTCAAAATGAGCATTAATAACATTTTTAGTCTTCTGATTATGAGGACACAACCAGGCACACTGTCAGCTCTGCTGTCTGATCCACAAAGAGTTCTAGCAGACCCTCGTTTGGTGCCAACTGGTCAAGAACAAACGACCAGGTTAATGTGACAGGCTTCAGGTTTGGGTGGACAGTTGAGTGGACTGGTGTGAAATGGGCATGACCTTTGGATAAAGGGTCCTGTCAGTTGTCATCCTGCACACGGTCATTCTTTATAATGGACTTTCTTTCAAATCCACTCCATGGTCTTTGCTGTTTTATGGCGACTCATGGTACCTCCTTGTCCTCAGGCTCCCTTTGCACATTGCGAGGAACGTTCCAGTCTTCACATGAATGGTGCCTTCTCGGCCAAAAGGCTTGGTATGTGCTGACAGCTTGGATCTCGTATTTGGGAGTGAGTTAGCTCTTCAGGAACTGCCTCACTCTCTGGAAAGTCACATTTCCTTGTCTCCGTTGAGTTGTTGCTGTTCAACTGAGCCTTTCCTGTATAAACTTTCCCAGTGTACAGCCAGAGGTTTGGACAATATTTTCCATATGTCTTCAGTGTATGTTCTGTTTGTGATTTGTAAGAAGACTTAATGTACGTTTAGGCATTTAGATCTTAGGTCAATTCAGAGCAGGATCGACTGGAATGTCATTTATGACTGAGAGCTGCTGTTTCTTGGTGACATTACAGGTGAAAGCAAGTCTAGGACAGAGTTGCTTTCTGTCCTCTCCATCTCAGTTTTCCTTCCTTCCTTATTTTTGTTATCTACGATAATCTACGTTTAAGGCCACTACTGATCAGTCTTTCTCCTGCATGTTTCACTGTTTAAAAAAATAAAAAGTCTCGAGTTTTCAAAATCACTCTAGGTTTCAACAACTTTACTGAGAAGGAGCTGATAAAACAGCCAGTAGTTTCTGCTTCACAGGTCCATTCATTCCTGCACTGATCTCAGTGAAACAGAGACACAATCGGCTCGTTCCTTCAACGAGTTTGGCATGAAATCAATGAGGTCAAGACGACTCATCTCCGTCAAATCACGTTCTATTGTGCAAGTCGCAGAGAAAGGCGTGGATAATTACGGCTGTGAGCTGAGAAGTCCTGCCTCCCTACCTGAGCAATCAACTCTCCATCTTTAAAGTCATTGTATCATAATCACAGCCATTCACGACTCGGCAAAGTTTGAAATGTACGTCGCCGTCTCATCCACCTGAATTATCCCCGCCTGCCCACCTCTGTTCATTTCATCTTTAACTCGATTGTGGACTTATAGACGCGTCAGCCCGTTTTACACAGAAACACTTTGTTCTGACGCTGCTCTGCAAAAACACAAAAGTACTTGTGGTCTAGTTTGCTTTGCAAATACACTGTCACACTTGAAATAAAACGAAAACTAACTTAAAATTTAAGCAACGTACAGGAGCTTGTATTGATTCCTTAATATTGATGAAAAAGGATTAGTTCCATTGCCAGATTATTTCAATATGGCAAGACATTTTTCTCATGTTGTAAGTGAAATAATCTGCTAATAGATCTAGTACTCTTTCAGAATTATTTAATAAAAACAAGCTCCTATATTTTGCCGAAAAGTTACCTATAAGATAATTTTATCTTATTTCAAGTGTGCTAAGATATTTTCACTAGAAACCAGACCCAAAATACTCAGAAGGATTTTTTTTTTTTTTTTTTTTCTGGTGTAAGTTTTCATCTCTGGGGGGAAAAAAATCTCGGGGGGTGGAAACAACAATGCAATTTTT